CGGGGTTAGGATCATAAAAATGAAGAATAAGTCAAACTTTAGATTGTGGTGTAAGACTTATGCGTATCCAAAAAGATTTTTTCTTGTTTAATTTTATGTTTTCTAACCAATTTAGGGGTTTTTTAATTAAAAAATTAGTCCAAGAGTGTTTTTTAGGTTTTTTAAAAATTGGCTGAAAACGGTTTTTTAGATCCAAAAAACCCCAATTTAATTTTTCAACCATTTCTTTTATGGTCAAAATCCAAAAAATTAAACAATATAGTTTGAGAATCTCATGCAGCGGAGCAAACTTAAAATCTTTACTAAATTATTACCAGCCATAATATTAGCAAATAAACATATTTTTGAGTTTAATGCGTGAAAAAGATATTTTGTTTGATTTCAAGTAAAAAAGAAAAAAAAGAAAAAGAAGAAGAAAAGGATTTGGCACAAAAGCTTTCTTTCTATCAGGACTAACGCGTGTGTGAGCCCTATCTTCATTGCTATAAGTGCTTAGCCCCTTTTCACGTTCCTTTTGCAAAAAAATTTCTAAAAATTATTATTCAAGTTTTCTTTGATTCTTAAATAATATTATAGGTTTTGAATGAAAATCATAACAATTACTTTTTTAATTATCATGTTCCTAGTATGAGAAAAATAAAAAAATATATCTCAGGAATATTCAATGAAATTAATTTTTTTTAAAAAAAGTTTTTGACATATTTTTTACATGATTTAAATACATTTATTAAATTTTTTCTTCAATCATATAGAAAATATTTTAATATTTTTTAAAAAATTTCTTTTGAGATCATGATAGTAGGTTTTTATTTAAAAAAATACTTACAATAAAAGCATGCTTTCATTAAAAAAATAAAGAGATATAATAATAAAAAATGGATTTTAAATATGGTGCATTAATAAAAAAAATATCAAGGCTAAATATATTAGAAATATTATTTTAAAATAAATATTTTTATTTTGAAAAATAAATTTCATTGGCATATATAAAAAAATTATAAATAAATTAAAATAATATTTTAAAAAATCAAACACGAAGAATAATCATTTGTATATATAAAAAAAATTATAGATAAATAAAAATAATATCTTGAAAGATAAAAAAATGAACAAAACAATTCAAAAAAATATATATTAAAAAAAGCATGCAAAATCTATCATTTATATTATAAGACCAAGATAAATTTATAGAAAAGATATTAAAAATAATTATAAAATTAATATTAAAAAAACAAATATATAATAATAAGATCATATGAAATTGAATTCCAATAAATAAAATGTCAAAAGACAAAATTAGAAAAAAAATTCAATAATATAAAATGATCTAAAAAATGGGTGAAAAAAATAATAATTAGATAACATACTTAAATTTTTAATTGGAGAGTTAAATTGAACTGAAAAATAGTTTTAACAAAAAAATTAAAAGAATGAGGATTAGATTGAAAAAAAAAATTCATTAAAAGATAAAATTAAAAGAAAATTAGCAAAAAAGCCAATGAAAAAATTATATATAAAAAACATAAAAACCAAAATAAAAAAAATACATGAAAAATTATCACTGAATGAATAAATTGAAAAAAAAAGAAAAGAGTATCTTGGGAACTTACAGTAGATTTCGTTGGAACTCATTTCTCGGGACGTAGCATAGCTTCTTGAATCTCTGTTTCTAATCGGAACAGGGGAGCAACGAGAAGCTATGAGTGGTCGCAGAATTGTTCAAAAAATTTAATGACCCAAAGGAAGAAAATCATAAAAATCTGCCTTTTGTATTTCCTCAACATGTCAGGTCATATTTCTGGCTGCAAATCTTGTATCCCTAGCCCAGAAATAATTTGAAATTTTGACTAAATAACACCATTTAAAAACAAATTAATGAAATAACACGATTAAATCTCATCAAATTTTAAAAATACAGCATTTAAATAATGTTGCATTTCACCTACTTCTCTCCTTGCTGGTCTCTCATCGTAAAAACCATCACACAACCAAACCTTCCGACGGCAATTACCAAGTCTTTCCCCATGCCATCGCCATCGCCATCGCCATCACCATCGCAGTAGAAACCCATCGTCGACGACCACACAAGCGACCATTTCCAGTAGCCTCTCCACGCAAGCTTAGATCTTTCTTGTTGGCCCCAGGTTAGAAGGGCAAAGTTTGTTTGGGCAATTTTTTTTTATTAGAATGTTGCCTGATTTCGTTTGTGATTGTGAACTATAATATTAATTAAAATTTTATTGTGTGTATAAAATTAATTTTGTGGTTGTGAATTATAATACTAATTAAATTTCTATTTTAATTATGAAATGTGATATTATTTAAATATAATATTTTTAGGATATGATAACATCAAATTATATTATTACATTAAATGCTTTTCAAACATTATTATTCCACTATTTTATTTCTGTATGTTGATTTCCTAATTTGTCGTCATTGCTTGTACAAAGAAAGATCTACATATTAACAATACAAGTTATTTACAACACAATGGATATCTAGAGACCCTCTCCTCGTTAAACTACATGCATGTTTTATATTGTGGTGTAAATATTTTTTAATTAAAAATATAATAAAATATTAAATATTATTATATATATATATTAAAATCATTTAAAAACATTTAAAAATTACTAATTTAATATTTTTTCAAATAAAAAATACTTTTGAAAAAGGCCAAAATTAAAAATCAAACACAGTTTTAAAACTCAATTCCAAGTAGCAGCAACCATATTTATAGTTTAAAAAACCAGAATTTTTTTTAAAAAAACTATTTACAAATAAACACATGCTTATTCATTAAATAGATTCCTTGCATTAAAAAAACAATGAACTCCAAAATTATTCTGTACGAATAGCCTAATTTGATACCACAAAACATCATGGTATCCTATAACCAACTTGAAGGAAGAAGACATCTCAATTGAAAAAAAATATTGCAGTGAAATAACTAAAAAGACTACATCAAAATCACAGAGAAAATAAAATAAAATAAAATCCCAGTACTCAGCCTTTGATTTTTGTGATGTTCGAGTTTCTAACCTTTATTTTACCCATGTGAGTGACTGAAATTTTATTTATTTATTTTTATTTGAGTGATTTCTGTTACATGGAGCTATTAGATGCTAGCGGACAGGGGTAGAGCTAGTGGAATCCGATAGGAGAGGTCAAAATTAATATAAGAATATATATTATTAAAAAATATATTTATTTAAAATAAAAAATATTATACTATTTTATATTTAAATACTAAATAAGAAAATAAAATATTTTGCTGGCCCGGGTCCTGCTTTCCTCCCCGTAGTTCCACCACTCCTAGCGGGTATCTATTAACACGATAAAAAACGAGTTTTTATTATGTTTGGGTGACCTTTTATTTTATCTATTTTAATGATTAATTTATAATTTTTTCCATCCTCGTTTCTTTATCACTCATGAGCTTTTTAGAACAAGTCTGAAAAAATATGTTTAAAAAATTTAAAGATTATTTATTTAAATTATTTTTTATATACTTTTTAATTATTTTGATATATTAATATTATTAAAAATTATTAAAATTTTTATTTTTTAATAGTTTTAAGCAAAATTCAATTCTTTTGTATCGGTAGACTCGATTTTTAAAGTGCATTTAATAAACAAAATCCAAAGATTAATTAATCAAATAATTAAAATAAAAAGTTATACATTCTAATAGAACAAAAATCAAATATTAGATAATAGAATTGCTTTTTATCTCATGAAGAGGCAACAACTCTACCACAAATGCAATGTTTTCATAAAACAATTATTTTATAACAACTGCAAGTTTTAAATATTGTTTATTGAAAAAATCCTAAGAGATCTAGGCATTCTGATGTTTCTTCCACTCTACACGTGGATTTATACAATGCATTTTTTTCTTTTTCTTTTTTCCAAATAATTTTTTCTTTGGTTTGATGTTTAACATTGCTTTTATTTGACCTTGACCTCAATAGTTTGTTTCAATAAACTTCATGTGTGTTTCTCATCAAATTAAATTAAAATCTTGATATTTAGTTAATATTTGATTAAATAAATAAAAAGAGAAAAACAAAGATTTAAATTCGAAGAAGCATCAAAGCTTAGACAATGATATGCTCTATGTTAGAAGGAAGGCCCCTTTGAAATGATTCTAAAGAAATTAAAGAATATTGCAAATAGAGATCGGAGGGGGTTTATATGCCACTCCAAGTCAGCAACTCCTTCACGTGATAACATGTGTGTGTTGTACAAGTCCGATACTCTTTTCTTGTCATTCATATTATCCTTAATTTTATAACAACTTTTTAATTGAGTATGAAATTGAATCCCACCCGAGCCCAATGCCTTCTTTTTAAATTTAGTTATTTATTTTTTAATAACTCTTTCATTTAGTTCTAAATCTCATTTGATCCAAGACCAATAAAGGTCTAATTGAAAAAAAATAAAAAAAAGGAAAGAAAGAGGCATTTTATTGCATGGATTAACATATTGTTAGTTGTTTATATGACTTGATTCGTAAATTTAACAATTAATTTGAGTTAACTGCGAGTGATCTAACACGTTATTATTTCAATATTAAAATATAAAAAATATATTTTATTTTTGAAAACACCAACTCATATTTTTATCAATCATTTATGTTATTTTAGATTTATCAAGTTAAATAAATTATTTTGTGGTAATTACTATACAATTTAATTTAAATTTTAAATTATATAAATAATCGAATTAAAAAGTTTTAAGATTACCTTGATTGGATGAGCACAGGGGTAGCACCATGATCTGCCCATCTTTTAAAAGTCTTCAAAAACAATGTTGCATGGAAAATTCTTTTTCTTTATCAAATCAATGGCATTGGCTTATGTTTTTTTTTTAAAGTTAAATCAGGTTTTGACGGTATATTATTGGTCTACAACAGTTGTTTAAAGAAACTACTCCCAAAAAATTAGTAACACCTCATGTTCATACCGCAACTGAGCTCTGGAAACGTAGCTAGTGCTATTGTATAATGTTTATATCATACCGACGACACTAATGGAGAGTACCAAACCACCTGGGCAGGCCCGAGCAGGAAACTAGTATATTTGTCTTACTCATAGTATTGTGTTGGGATTCTATTTGCTTTCGCATAATTTAAAATATAAATACTTTATTTTTACTCTATAAAAACTGAATATTATTTTGATGACAATAAAAAAAAATTATTAGAATCAATCAAATTTTCTGGTTCTATCAAATTCCTATTCCATAAAAATATAAATGCAGTTTTTATTTGATTATGTAATTACATATTCAACCCGGGAGGTCCATGGATGTTTTCAGGAGCTGGTCTAAGCTAGAGCAGAAAGGATCACAATTATAACAGAGACCTCGAATCCATTAGTAATGGCGGAACCGTACAACATATACGATGCTCTTCAAGACAGAGGTGCTTAATTTCCTTCTTTCTCTTAACTCCTAACCCTAAATTTAATTTCCTGCTATAAAATCCTAAAGTGCCCCAAACCCTAAAGTATTGATGTATTGCTTAGAATCATAAATTTGAGCAATGAATATGGATTTTTGCAACCTTAATTGAACTAATCAGTGCTTGTGTTCTTTTTAGGATACTATCAGTTTGTAAAAGCTCTTGTGTTTCTTAGTGGGTACTTATGTTTTGTTGTTAGCAATTGTTTTTTTTAACACGACATACGCTTGTGGTTTTGGTCTGTGCTATTTCAGGGTCTGTTTCAAGGCTTTCATTTCCAGGTTATGTATCAACTGAAGCACCACCATTGGCATCTCATAGTATTCCGGTTTCTACTGAATTTCCGGGTGCTTCTTTGGATTTTCTACAAAGAGATGTAAGAAGTTTACTTGATGGTGACTTTGTTCTGAGAAAGAAATCTTTATTACTTAATATTTATTTTCGATGCTGCAAGTTTATAGTTTTTGGCTGTAGATAAATCCATTGCAGCTGGGATCATATGGTTTGAATGGTTATTCTGGTGTTGGGTTTCGTCCTGAACCTGTTATTGGTGGAGTAATGCCAGGAGCTAGTGGGAAGGGGTATTCCTCTCCTCTAGAACATCCGAGTTTATTAGCCCAAAGAGGGGATGCTTCAATGCATGCTATTGGTGGAGCAATTCCAGGAGCTACCGGAAAGGGGTACCCATCTCCACTAGAAGATCCAGGTTTATTAAGCCAAAGAGGGGATGCTTCAGTCCGTGTTACCGCAGAGATTCCTGACGTGATAAATGACAGGCCTGGTTCATTGAGAAGTGCAGATGGTCCTCCAGTGCCGAAAGGGGAATCAAACATTCTTTTTGTTGATGGACTCCCTACTGATTGTACCAGAAGAGAAGTAGGCCGTATCCTTATTGGATATTATCCAGGTGCATGTGGCACATTTTTCATAGGAAATATCTATAACATATGAATGTATGACATCATTTCTGGTTTACCTTTTTGCTGTCATCTTTGAGCAACGGTTTCGATTTTGCTCCAGAGGAAGGACAGCTACCGGCTAAAGTTATGCAGAAGTAGCAGGAAATGTGTCTGCCAATCTATTGGTTACACTGCTATGTTATGTGATTTCAATGTTTTTTCCTTGATTTATATTCAAAGATCTTTTTCGTCCATTTATCGGCTACAAGGAAATCAGAGTTGTTCACAAGGAGGCCAGGAAAGTAAGCTTGTTGCTGCAATACTTGTGTGTTAAAGATTTATCATTGCCGAGCTTAAAGTAGGAGCTGTCTTGTGTGGTGGCATTTTCCTTTAATCCTAGTTTCAATGTATTTAAAGTTTACAAACAGAAAGATGCTTACAAATTTCCATCAGTGTTGGAGACTGGTATAATCAGGCAATTTAGTCTATACCTTACATGCTGGTGGTCCTGTCTAGGAAGCATTTAGTCCCCCATCTTATATAATGCTATTGCCTTTGAATAGCTTATCCTTTTCTTTGGTTTATGTTTCTATATTTGGTGATCTTTGTTCAACTTTAAGTAAATTGCAGAGTGGAGATAGGGCTACTGTCTTGTGCTTTGTGGAATTCACTGATGCAAATTGTGCTGCGACTGCCATGGAAGCTCTTCAAGGTAAAGTGCACAAAGAATAAACATTACTTGGTTTTATCAGTTACTTTATGATAAGGTTTTCAATTGAAAAACATTTATAACATTAAAGCAACCTTTTATACAAATTTATGCCATGTATCGTTTAACATAATACTTTATCGCAATATACTTATTGGAAACTATGAAAAGCATGAAATGTTCAACCAATTAAAAGTTAAGCAGGGAAACTTTCATTTAATCAGGCAGTGTAATGTGGGTGTTCTTGCAGGTTACAAGTTTGATGATAAGAAACCTGACTCTCCTACCTTGAAAATCCAATTTGCTCGCTTTCCTTTCCGACTTCCATCTGATCGTGATGGGAAACGGATTGGGACCCACGCTAGCTGCTAGCTCATGGCTGGGATGAAGTCAAACTATTGCCTTGGATTTGTTATGGTTCAGAGAGACACGTCTCGGCATTCTGGATTACATGGTTGAACCGCTAGCACTGCCAATTCACTTCTATAGATCAGAGGAGTATAGGAAATGGCTTGTTTCTCACATTGGCGTTGTGGGTCGTTTACATGTTATTTATGTTTGAAGCCCCACCCTTGTGATGATATGGAAATTTTATTGTGTATTTTTGCGCAACGAGTTTCTTGACTGATACAATTATTTGACGTAAAAGTCCTATTCAGGTATAATACTATAATCTGATGTTCTAATTATAAAGGGCAAGCTACCTTCTTGATCCAAGGATTTAACCATGAAAATTATAATCATGATTACATTTTACATTATTTTGGTGATCTGTGGTCAGATGTTCTGCGAAGCAATGGTAATCAAGCAAACCTCAACCTCTTGCTGTCCAGTTGGAGTCAGTTCAAGCTAGAGTTTAGTCGAACCACTCGCTGGGAATACGCTGTCAGAAAATCCTCCTCTTGATTTTGACCTGATTTACCCTAGCCCACGGGCCATGTTCAATACTGGCATGAGCCCATTGCATGTTCTCTACTCCGGAGTTGTTTTATTATTATTAACAATTAACAACAAAAAACTAATAGGCAGGGTGGTTTTACTGGGGGAACACTGTGCACATACACTGTAATCACTGTGGAGTGGATAACAACGGTATTCCTTTGATTCTCTTCTAGGCGTTTCTGTGTGTGTTGGTTGGGGTGGCTTAGGGTGTTTGGTTTTGGCTTGGGTTCTGCTGTTGCTGTCCAATGGAGTGGTTTCCTGGCTTGTGGATGTGGACGTGGCGCGCCTGGGAGGTAACTTTCACTGGTTTTTTGTTTTCGAGTGTCATGTATTTCATGTTGACCGGGCTCTTTGCAAAGTTTGTTGATAGGCTTTTGTGGGGCTGCTGGCCTGCATATTGCCATCATTGTGCATTAAATGCACAGACAGCTTGGCACGGTGTTTAGTCATTCCTGGGCATTCGGAGAGCTGCTCCTGTTTGGGTTGGATTTGACATTCCTTTTGCAAGTTGTACCTGGATCGTTCCTGGTTGGTGTTTTTCTCTCTATTTTATTGTTGCTCAGTTTCAGTGGAACTAGATTGCCTTTTGTTTCTTTTCATGTTTTGTTCCCGCGTTTTTATTTACCCGACAGCGTTTTTATTTACCCGACAGCGTTTTTTTTCCACTCCTGTCATTTGGCCTCCTGATTTATTTTCTTTTTAGCCAGCGTTTTCATATTTCTGCCCCAGGACTTTATTGTGCACATTAAATTTGGCTATATAAACTATTTTTCCTTGGATTTTTATCTCTGGTGAACCTCTATCTTTGTCTCAGGTTTTTGTTCTTCTTTTCGTTTTCTATTTTTCTTATTTTGATTGCCTTCGCTGTTGGTGTGGGTTTTGATTATGTTGTTTGCGTTTTCTGGTCACCTTTTCTCTACCTTGTGCCTCTAAAAAGAAAATAAATCAGCTTCTTAGTCATTTAAATCTCTAACTAACAATTTAACAATCTACGTTTTCAGCAATTGCTGCTGTTTTCCATGCATCGACAGAGGTGCTTGGGAGCCTTCAGATCAGTGGTAAATCAATGTGGCATTGTCGTCACAAACGTATTTGATGATGACTTGGACGAGGGGCTGGACAGCACCCCTGTCGATGCATGGACACCTCTCACAGTGGCTTCAACAAGCATGACAGCTGATGCATTGAGCTCTAGTGCTCCCCCTCCATCGAGCCAGGAACTCCGGCAATCCTCGCTCCACCTCACGCTGATCCAGAATCTTCCTTAAAGCAGCAGCTAAAGTCCTCACAGCTCCAGGACAACCTCCGACTCATCTGCCCGCCACAAACAAGAAGGCTTCAGTTTGATCATACAGTGGTAGAAGACCTCGCTTCAGTTACTCGATATTAAATTTGAATATCATTAAGTTATGTTATTACCCGCTTTTCACTGAGTAAGGAGACAACATGCACAGCGATACACGTCTTCCTACCAATCATTAAACAATGCCTAGAAATTGCCTTGCATCTTCTTTAATCTTCACATTTTTTTTTTTTTGCTTGGACCACGGAAACTAATAATATCTTTATCAATCTCTTAATTTTTTAAAACAGTCTTACCAAAAGCAAAGGAGCTATCTTTGCAGAACATGTTGAAGTAGAGGGAAGCCCTCTTCTGTTAACCGCTTAGAAACACCACCCAAGAAAATGTGATCCTCAAAGGTACCTTTACTCACCAAAATAAAATGTTTCCCTTTCATTGGTTTTGTGACAAATGCAATTGCTTGCTTCAACGCTAAACATCTTTGTCATTCCTGCCACTGATACCAGAATCAATCATTCAATGCCTATGTAGTTTCTTTTCGACAACATTGTCCTTTTCTCATTGGACTTTTCTGCATCAACCTTTACTGCACCTTTTGAATCATTTAATGACAGAACATCTACTTTACACTATGTCACAAACAATCAAATGAATTAATAATACCTTTGCAACCTGTGCAGTCACTCTCCATGCACACTGACATATCATTTTCTTGACAATCATGGCAATCTCAATTGCTTGCTTGCACGTGCTTCATCTGATCTTTCTTTTACACATATGCAGGCTCGTTCTTTTACAATATACAAAAAACATCTTTTCTTTATGTTCAATCATCACCATGCCACGTTTTTTCACTTTCTTTGTCTGCTTCCATTTATTTCAACAGTTTTTGAATGAATCCAGCATTGTCACGTCCTTTTCCATGCATTTTAGTCTACTTGCTTTCACGCCCTTCTTAGTGGATGTTAATTGCAAACAAGACTGCCGGAAAAAAAAAAAAATTAAGAACACTGTCATAAGCCTTCCCAACTCTGTTGCCTAAACAATTCCAAGACAATTTTGCAATTTTCTAGGATTTGGACAGTAAACCCCCAAAAACATTCCCTCCATTTGAGGCTTCTGTTAAGCTTAAAATTGCAAGGTGTTCGTTTGGGTTTTTCAAGTACATCATGCCTTGTGATCATAGGCATACTTTTAGTTAGGTGCCACCAGGCGAATAAAAGACAGATACTTTTAGTTGCAGAATAAGGGTGTGATCCTTTCAAAACTATGAGATTGGGGATGGAGAAGAAAAGTGTTACATTCATGCTTTGCAGCAACAAGTTGGAAAGAGAAACCCAGGTGTGGCTGTTGGTGTCAAATCCAATTTATTTAACCTAGAGAGACATGGAAAGCAGGGAAGTGAAGGAAAGGCTGCTCCAAATCAACAATAATGGTTTTGTTTTGGTAGCAATAGACTGATAGAAACCTTCTCGGATTATTGTAGGTACAATAAACGCATTGATTAATATATGAAACGGTTTTGATCACTCTTTTGCTGTCAAAGCAGAGGATGGCCATTTCCAGCAATTAATATTTCAGTTTACGGGTTCCAAGGTTGTGCACCTGCTTCTTTGCATCCCTTTACAATTTATATTTCACTTTCAACAACTAAAATAATACCTGCCAAAACTAGACCATTTAAAGAATCTGCACCCTATTCCCCTTAACCCTTTATATGTAAGATTTTAGTTTCATATGGTTTATTCATGCTTTCTTAGCTCTATTAAATTTGCTTTCTATTTACTTTTTCAGCCAGAAAACAGTGCCATGCTGACCCCACCCATTTGCTTGATAAAGATTGGATATGATGAAGATTGTGGTTGAAGAAAGAATTTTTCCTAGAACTGCAATGATTTGTGACTGCATGAAATTAGCTCTGCACATACTGGTGTTAACTCTATTGGATTTACTTTCCTTCTATGTATTTGCATCATTCTTGGACGTTTCCCTTCCATTGGTTTATGACAATGCAATTGTCGAACATGATGCAAAATCAAAATTTCTTTTACAATACCACACAACATTCAATTGTAATTCATGTTTTTGCTTTCACTTGTGCTTTTAATAGGCAGCTAGCGCAACCATCTAGGTGGTGGCCAAGTGGTAAGAACTTGGGATCAAGGGGTTTGCTCCCTCTGTGGTCTCAGGTTCGAGTCCTTGGTTGCTCATATGATGGCCACTGGAGGCTTACATGGTCGTTAACTTCAGGGCCCGTGGGATTAGTCGTGGTGCGCGTAAGCTGGCCCGGACACCCACGTTAATCTAAAAAAAATAGGCAGCTAGCGCTAATCACATTCCTTTCTATTCGGTTCGTTTTGCTATCTCTATGCATGATCCTGCATCCAATTACCACCCATTTGATTCTAACGACTTTAATCTTCTTCATTATATTTAACTTGATTGCTAACATCTCTATTTGACCGCAACAGGACTCGCTGTGAGGATGCTCCACCACCTTTTTGCGAGGGCTCGAGTCAGCTTATAATTTTTTTGACGTTGCTTCCACATGGTAGCTGCTTAACAGCACCAGCATTTCCATCTCCAACCATCAACAACTGAGTCCTCCGAGCACACAACTCCCTAGTTCAGCATGTGCCTACTTGCTTTTTGTTAGCAGAGACAAAGCTCACTCAAACTAACACTCTTTTCATGTAAATTTTGGAACTGCAATCTGTTCGTTTCCATAAAACTAAAGTTTCGCTTGCCATTCCACCGATTTTATATTTGATCTTCGTTGCTTCCTTGACAATATTCCTCTCCGAAAACAAACTCGGTTAACAACTTAAAAGGCTGCTGGTCGCAGCAACTTGCCTAATAGCTGTCCTAATAATTTTGATCATTCCATTAGGGTAAAAACTATAGCAATGTTCTAGTTTGAGCTGCAAATGAATGAAATCTACAATGACCTTGTTTGAAAATTCTCAAAATAAATTAAAAAAAAAAACAAAAACAAGAACAGAGATAGAGAAAACCAAGAGTGGTGTGGCATGGAAAGCTCCTGTGAACTAAAATACTTAAAATTTAAAAAGTTATTAGTCATAAGTTGACCTGAACTAGCGAATGGTGAGCATTTCCAAACTAGTAATTACAATATTCTTTCATTAAAAAAAAAACGCTCTATTTACCACTGCCTGCCAATGGAAAGTTCATTGCTATTCTTGCAACCTAAGAGGTTGAATCCCACCTGTCACTACGTCATTAATCTTAAAATAAATTGTAGTCACGCTTGTAAATACATGGTGTCATGTAATCTCATAACATTTCTTCCCTAATCCCCGCGGCCAATCCAAGCATGGAGGAGGATTTTGGTTCACATTAAAGGAATGATTAAATGACAACGAATTTAGGAGCGCAAAAATAAGGTTAATTGGCCCCCGAAGTCTGTCCATTTCCACTCTATTGGATTCTTCAAGGATATGTCAATCAGGTTATCAAATAAGAAAACTAGAATAATGCTGCTGTAATCAATTTCTTAGGTGAATATTTACATAACGTAGTTGTTCCTGCCTGCTATAAAACCAGGGGGTAGATCTTTTTGATGTCCCATGTGAATGATAGACAATTGCCGTGACGTGATTTTTGCAAATACACATGGAGCAGTGAAGAAAATCTCAGAAGGAATCCAATCATTATCGCAAGAAAAAGGCAGAATCCACCCACCCACTTACACAATTTTTTTTTTTAATATTTTACATTAATACTAGCAACTAGTTAAAATACAAAACAAGGCTATTCTCTACCTCCAAATCCAAATATATTTCATGATCTTCCTCTAATTGGAAAGATAATTATAGTCTATTGGTGCAATATGTTATTTTGGGTTGCATTTACTCGAGCAATCTCATCTATATCTGACAATTCATTGTAATGTGGGATAGTAGATTTCAGCTACATTTGACATGCCATCACAAGTTTCTGATCACACTTTTTTTTGCTGCATGCCATATCTCGGGTTCTCCAAAAAGATGAATGTTTGAAGCAAAAATATAATTTTTTTTCCCCTGAGATTAAGCTAGTCATTACACACAGCATATGCCAAATTCAAATCAGCCAAAGCACGACTTGGATATTTAATACATGAACAAGGAGCTTAAATACTCAGCACCACGAGGATGACATACCTCATGATTTGGAGCAGTGAAAATCACTATAAATCAAAATCAGTTCAATTGTACACCATCCAGCCACTTGAGTGCAGGCAGGACCTTAGCCAGAAATGCCGTAAATTTCTCATCAGCAATTGCATTCCCTGCTATGTCTATTTGAGTCAACTTCAAGCCTCTCAAAATAAAAAAGGCTTCCCAATAGCTCACCAAACTCACATCATCAGTCACAATTTCACTGCCATCCCATTCACTCCCGACTGAGTGACACAAAGGAGAAGAACACAGATATCTTGTTGTATCAATAGAGCGTGAGCCTATCTCATTGTATGAAAGATCTAACACTTTCATTGACTTCAAATGTCTCAGAGGCTCAAGAGAGGTAAAACTACCAAATTTATTCTTACTCAAATTCAAGTGTGAGAGAAGTTGCATGGCCTCCAAACCTGCCACAAGTTCCAAAATCAAAGAATAAATTTATTTTCAATCAAGAAAATGAGGTTGCTTTTTAAGCACTAGAATGAATCAAGCAAACTGAGAAGAGTCAACTGAAAATTCAAACTACTAAATAAAATCACATGAAAAGTGCAAATACCAGTAACTAAGTGCAATAAAGTAAATGACAATATATTACTTGTTTCTTAAGCACCACATGGATAGTAAGATAAAAATTGATAAAAATGCAAGCAGCTCAGATAGGTGAATCAGTTAATGACATCTCTCATTATGAAAAGTGTATAAATATATATATTTACCTTCAATTGATTGGAGCTCATTGTGGCTGAGGTCTAGCATTTGGACCCACAATAATTTCTCAAAAGACCCCAATCGTGATAATGACAATCCATTGAGCCTTAGGCAAATGGGATTGCTACTGCTTGATGAAGTTAAGTTCCTATAGCGAAAGCAATAACTCAGTAAAGACTCCCTACCAGAAATCACCTGCAGAATCATGGGTAAAATAGAATGATTAATTCTCAAAACTGTTTTATCATAACCAGATCCCTGTGGATTAAAATTAAAAAACAAAATTCAATAAACTTTGCTCTTTCATAAAAATTTTAAAAGATAAGCTTGTATCTCTAATAGAACACCAATGACATTCAGCAAGTAATTTTATCTCATTCTTGTAATTAAACATTCATTCAGCTAATCTAACAGCAAGAACAAATACACAGGGTGACTTAAAAATATCACTTTCTAACACTCCAGAATTTAAAATATTTAGTGATACATTATGTCCATTTCAAAACTGAAGCTATGGTTTCATGTGCATTACCCCTTCAAGGAGGAAGATTCACCTTTTCTAATAAAACCAAGCTGTGTTCATCCTTGTAGAATCCAGAATGCGTTGGATCCAACTTCATTAATTCACTATAAAGTCTAAGAACTTCTTCAGAATGGACTGGTTTGTCAGAAGACATCAACGCATCACGAGCAGTCAACAGTCTTGCAAGTGTCAGTTTTCCAATTTTACTACAAAAAATAGAAGTTAATAATTAGGCATAGCAATATAAGCTTTTCCAAGCATAGTATTTACCCATCGAAAAAAGCAGGCTTACCAGTCCAACAATTCACGAAAGTTGCTTATCTCTTCATCTATAATTTTCGCTTGCCATGAAGAATCTGTTGGCTCACGTTCATTCTTAATACTTAGGTGGTCAAGGGGGAGAACTGAATTTGACTCCAGAGAATCTTGTTCATAAATATGAAAATTTTCATCTCTCCATGATATTTTCTCTGAACCTAATCCTTCCACTGGTTCTGTTTTGGCAGGTTGTACATGCACCGTAAATGAAAAATGAGAAGGATGGCTATAATGAAAACCACTAGAAGAAATGATTCCTTGAGAATGTCCAAGGGTAACCTCGATGGTATAAGCTCCTAAAGAATCAAGCTCCACCTCAGGGAACTTCAATTGTCCAACCCACACTTGGGTAGTTTTAGAGTTATTTGACAAAATAGGTTTCCAAATTACATCCTTATTCACGTTAGACCCGGATGAAACTGTAACTGTTGATGCATTTACACCCTCAACAGCTTGATTGAAGTAAAGAATGAGTGGAAGCAATCCAGAATCAAATTGGTATGTGTTGAATGGAGAAGACGAACCTAGATCTAGGTACCTATCTCCAGATAGAGTGATCTCAGAACCATGAGCAGGCCATGAAGAAGCTAGTAGAGGAGACTCAGCTTTAACACTTTGATCAAGTAGCCAAAGATGATAAAACCAACCACTCTGATCATCTTCATCTGTAAAAACAGCTTCGCGAACCAATTCATACTCCCTGATCAAGACCTCATCTTTCCGTGAAAATGCTTGAACCTTTTTCTTCATCAAGTTAGACACAAGCACACTGCAAAACTCTCTCATTAAGCTCATAACACTAACAAAATTTCAAATATAAAAAAAGACACATCAACTTGTAAGCACACAATCAAACCAACAAGAACTAGGATGTAATGTTGTATATATACCTAGTAAAAAAAACATCGGCATAGAGCATGGTTTAAGAACAATGGCAAGAAAATTTGAACAATAACATCTCTATATGTACGGAGAACAGTAACTTCAATGAACTAGAAAACAAACTCCTCAAAATACTATTCTTTTTATTTGGCAAGGACTAAATTTCAGTGTTTATTTCATATAAGCAATACAAATAAACACGTTACAATACCCTGCATTCATAAATAATCGGTATGCAATTCCAGTTTTAACATCTGATGCAATTTCATAATACTTGCAGCTTTTGAAGAAAAAAATACTAATTAGAATACCTTCGATTGTGCCAGGCAGAATAATTGCTAAAATTCTTATCAATAAAATTCTGTGTGTGATTCAGTTCATCTTCATCAGATCTATTCAATAATGCCGCTACGAATCTGGAAAAAAAAAGAAAAAAAAACTTCAAATAGCATATAACTCAATAAAGAAAACTATAAAACCTAAAAGTCAGGTCTTCACCTGCGGTAATTCCAGGCATGAAAATTCCGAGGATCTACATTTTGAAGCTTGTCCAAAAGCCTCAACTCATTTTCTGTAGAAGAATGCCCTTTATTTAGCACCCATTTACGATGATACCATGCTCCGTATGACTTGAAATTTTGCCTCAACGCATTCTCTACCTAAAAATATGTAATTATAATCTCTAACTTTAATTGAATAGAAAACAAAAAAATCAATCTGAGGTTTAAGAGAGAAAAATGACCACTCTAAGTTCTTGATCAAGAATTGAGTTAACAGAGTCAGGATCCAAGTTGGACTCAAAAAGACTGTGTTGAACAGCGAGTTTTCTATAGTTCCAGGCAGTGTAACATTCTGGATTGATCTCTAAAAGTTTAGAGCTTAGTTCTACCGCTTCCTTTGTATAACTGCAAACAGAAAAAGAAAAGGAGACAGTAAAAGGGTCACTTAATAGGGTTTTTCAACTTAAGACAAGGGTGAAGAAAGAAAAAGGAGCACACATTTTTTGGTGGTGATTCGAAAGGAATTGAGATTGGAGGATTCTTAGTTTCTCAGCTTTGGCAGCGGAGGCAGCTAAATCTTCAGGTTTTGGGGCTTTGCGAGGCCGACCGTGCATTTTCCTTGTCTACATAAGATCACACAAATAGGAATATTG